GTTAAAACACTTGCATTGTAAAGTGTATTCCAGCATTGTGGCAGCCAGTTTGCCTCTGAAGAAGTAAGGACCTCATCAGTAACCCTAAACACAGTATGTTTGATACATTTCACTATGATACAGGTCCAGCTTATCGCTCTTTGGTTAACTTGTGTTTAGGGTTACTGATGAGGAGTGGAATTATCCGAAGCTAGTATAACCCAATAAAAAACATTGCTTAAAGTGTAGATTGCATTGGACCTCCTTTGAACTTAAACTTTGAGATTAAACAATTTCGAAATACTAAATTTATTTATTATGAAACCATAAAATGTTGACCAAAATGCCCACAAGAGCAATGGATTGCACGAGTGTGTACGTAAACGATATCATTGCAATTCTATCTAACATGCAAGTGGTGTTTCAGGATGTTCCACAACAACAATGTTAGGCTGTACCACAAGCTAATGCTGTGGTTGAACTGATTTCTGAAATTCACTGTTTTCTTGTGAAAAATCACGTGATGCATATTCAGACAGTTATAACTCCGAGATCAAGATATGTTCTGATATTGGTTTGTAACTGTTTGTTATGAATTTCGCGCAAAGCTACACGAGGGCTATCTGCGCTAGCCGTCCCTAATTTATCAGTGTAAGACCAGAGGGAAGGCAGCTAGTCATCACCTCCCACTGCCAACTCTTGGGCTACTCTTTTACCAACGAATAGTGGGATTGATCGTCACATTATAACCCCCTCCCCCCACGGCTGAAAGGGCGAGCATGTTTGGTGTGATGGAGATTCGAACCCACAGATTGCGAGTCGAGTGCCCTAACCACCTGGCCATGCCAGGCAGGTTTGTAACTACAGTTATAAAATAGTGGTATTATCTGCAACAATTGTTGGTAAGGTGCATGATATAGAAGTAGCCCAAATTAGTGGTGTAGTTTGTGATACTTCAACCACACCACACTGACAGATAACCATATGGTTAGCAGTGCACCAGAGGTCGCTAGTTAACATTCAAGCTCAGACTAGCAGTGACAATTTGAGGGGATTCTGATGGAATTCAATTATGTTTATTTGTTGGTATTAACAATAAAAAGGAAAGAAAATGCACCTATGTTCTTTGTGAACTTTAGATAGGTGAATATGGTCATGGGCATTGACACATTTCAGTTGTCATGCATGGTCAAATGTCTCAATGCATTTGAAGAATTTCACTAGTTCTTGCTTCTGGCCAGTTGGGCTAGACAATAAAACACAAAACTAAGGCTGCTTTCAGCACTCAAACGGCGAGTATAAGTTCCACGTTATCCCATTCAACCTCTCTAATGCGCCAACTACTTCTAAGTAGCTTATGGTACCTGTATCTCAATGTAGGCAATGGTGAAACGGAAATGATGTTTTATTTATGTCAACAGCATTTAAGTATGTGATCATGTTTCAGGCTGCAATAAAAAATCTAGGCATGGTCTTTCAACATTTACTTCAGGTCTGAAATTAAAGCGAGAGAAATGTTATCTTTTGTGGAAACATGTAGCATTTCCCAGGTGCACAGTGAGTAGAGAGGGAGAATCTGCATGTTCTGCTAAGATAAAAGCCATAGTAGAATGGCTCGAACCTAAAAACAAGAAAGAAGCCCAAAGCCATCTCAACTTTGCATCTTATAAAAGATGCATTGTGGTCAACTTTTCTATTATAATAATACCACTTCCAGCATTAAATAAAATTGAATGTCATTTTATATCATTGGAGGATTGGGCAAAGTCATTCCAGTTGCTAAGATGTCTTAGGTTAATGCATTGGTCTTAGCTTACCCAATACGTTCCATTGGTCCTTGATATTGATGCCAACAACAATGGTTATGGAGCAGTGATATCACAAGTACATTACACTGTAGATTGTGTAATAGTATATGTAAGCCAAATACTGATGTCCACCAAACGTTGTTTCCGTATGACAAATAACTACTTGCAATCATAGTATTTGCCAAGCACTTCCACCACTATTTATATCGTAGGGAATTTACGGATAAAATATATCATACATTGTGGTAGTGGCTGATGAACTTTCAAGAACTGGAAGCTGCGAATGTGCAGATTGAAAGGTCTGGAATTAGAAAATTTTTGCAACACACAGACAAGCCTTTTTTGGTGAAATACATTATTTCTAGTTTGTAATGATATGTACGAGACTAAATCATGTCACTTTATGATGATTCGAAAGGATTGTAGTTGAAATATTTTTTGACAAATCATAAATTCTATTACACTGTAACATATATGCTTAATAGTTCACCAAAACATCAAATACATTTTTCACAAATCAACAGTTTATAACCGAAAAACAGTTAACGACCATAATCTTAAAAAGACCTTTAATTATAAATCAAGTGATTATTCTTTCACGTTTTATGAATCCAACATATTTACTGTTTATCATTACAGAATATACTTTACAACAACAATACAAGACTTGACAAGCATATTGAAAATTTTTTAACAAAACTTCAAGATACGCTAATATATTATGTACGTAAATCTCCTAACTTATAAAATCCTGAATTAGCTTTCATACAACTTATAGCATTCATATTAATATTTATGTTAGAGTTACGACAGCGGAAGTCACGTGACGCTGGAAGCATGCGCGCTGGAGTTTCTAGAAGGATCATGACTGTTCCTGGCAATTCTAGTTTTTTTCTAGGCGCCCTCTATTTTAGTATATAAGCCCGGCAAATAAAGCGGAGGAATACCAGATAGACAGATATTTGAGTCAAGTTAGCGGTAGTGACCCTAAGTAAAGTGCGTGAATCGTTGTGAATTATAGCGTGTGTAAAGTTAAAGTGACTGTGGAAATTTTGTGTATTGAAAAGTTGTATTGAGAAAGAATAAACTAGTTTTTTTTAAGAAAGGACTTGTATCAGCTGAAGTTCCTCGGGAAGAATTTATACCAGGAAATTCACAAACGACCAAATACGCAACAACATTTTTGGTTTGTGTAACATCATGTGAAAACAAACACTGTATTTATCCCGAGATATTTTAATACACCCTACTAAAACATACCACTGCATAAATAAATGAATAAAGGATTCAAACATGTACGTTATAGATATTTTGTGACACCAGCAATACTATTTGTTCAAACTGCATGTTCAATGCATGTGCGATTTCAGTTTGTATGTATGTATATTAAAAATGAAACAGTAAGCATGAATGATAAAATACTGTATATTATTTACATATTTAAATAACTATGTTGTCATGACAACTCAGTACTTTTCAGGATAATAATTGTAAAAAGTATTTTATGCAAATTAAGTATAGAAGCGAAAACTATACTACAGTATACTACATCATAAAACACATAATCGGCTGTAGAATAATAATGTAACTGTTCAATATTTATAAAAACGAAACATTAGATACGATAAAATCCTTTCAGGACTGCCAGGAACTTGCTTTTTTTAGTATTATATATATATTAAAGAAATTATATGAGGATGTTGGATTAAGGATTCTTCTGCACTAGGTGTCTGTGACTTGTTGGCGATAAATTTGACAATAGACGAACAGCACACACTCCACTTGTTTTTAAATATGTATATAATATATATATCAGAAACAAGTTGAATGTATATACAAAATTCTTTACACTATGAAGATCATAGTTGTATCTTAAACACTATGCAGTTCTCTTCTTCTTATCAAAAGTCCACTTAGGCCTATTCAATTGCTTTAAAATTCAGTTGACAAGCCGAGCTATTTTCTCTATTTCTAACGCAATAGTATCCTTATATAATTCACTTACGCTGTCTCGTGAGTTACCGCAGTTGTATCCTGTACTTCCAATAATCATCTGCTTTTTCGTGCTTCCAAATAATCGTCTGTTTTTCGTCAAAGTCCACACAGGCGGGTTCAGTTAGCTTGGAATACCCTTTGACAAAACAAATTATTCTCCTTATCTCTCATTAATCTCATTCTAACATATCAACTTTTAGGCCTGTTACGTCTCTGGTCGTATGCTAATTTCCAGTAAAAACTTGTGTGTGTGTGTGTGTGTGTGATCGTAAAGTTATTTATAACCAGTTTGTTAAAACGGCATTCATACATATATTTCACTATTAGCAACACTGCATATGGGCTCAGCGATAGTAACGTTTCCGTCTTAGCAGCGTAGGGGTGGTTGTCGAGTGTAACCGGAAAGAAATAATAACTGCAAAACTGTTTCTGAAAGAGTTCATGTTATCGCAAGATTCGTCGGATTACATGAATAATATAATCTGACTCTAAACCATGTAACATGTTCGTATGCGCAAGGTACTTGTAGTATTGTTATCTGTTAGCGACAAGGATTAGTTGTGTGCCATTATCGTTAGACAGTCTCATATGGATTAAGTGTTAGTTTAAAAAATGTGGTTTCCAAAATTTAAATTTTAAATGTTAAGAAAAGAATTTGATTTTAAATTGTTCAAGTAAGCTCTGTTAAATTATACTGATATAAGTCGTAATTTTTAACAGTCTTACAAGATTGTTTGTTTGTTTGTAATTAAGCACAAAGCTACACGATGGGCTATCTGTGCTCTGTTCACCATGGGTATCGAAACCCGGACTCTAGCTTTGTAAGTCCGCAGACATACCGCTGTGCCACTGGGGGGCGCTAAGTAATGTGTGAGAAAAAGTTAGTAAAAAAGATTATATTTTTTGGGAAATAATTCATTCAGATCTCGTTTAACTGCGAAACATTTAATCGAGTATGTATTAAGAAATGGCCTGAAATCGTAGTTTCAATGTTTATAAATAATAAGTAATAATACATGAAACAGCTTATTGTGAACGATTTACAACAAGAGGTTTTGATATAAAATCGAACTTTCATGAAATAAAGTGTCTGATAATTCTATTCGTAACTCAAGTTAGTTTATTTCAACTGACGGAAACTCTTCGATTCGACATCCCAGCCTCCAGTATCACAAAACTACTTCCGGTGTTCGTTTCCCATGGTGTTTTCCCGCTGGACACTTTCCAAACAGTTTGTTTCGTCGGTTCAATCTAGTTGAAGAAATTTTTTTCTGGAAGTGGGCGTTCATCTACATTGTTTATTAGATTTTGCGACATGTCATCAAAGAGTTTTCTTTATGGATTTTGCTTTCTTATTTCAAAACTCATACTTTCAGGTAAGTTATTGTGAAACTGATAGCTATTTGAAGCATAGAGTTTATACCTTATCATAACAGATCTAATAATAATATATTCTAAGACCTTGGATCACATTCACCAGTGTTCATTGCTTATAACTAAATTAGATTTTTTTAAACAAAATTACTTTCCAAATTATTTGAAAGTAACTGGAAATAAGTATTAAACTATTTTGTTTGTCTTTTTCCTGAAAATCTTCAAATTAATAAGAAAACTATATATAAGAAAGAAGTTAGTATCACTAGTAGATGTTTAAATACTTCGAAATATCATTACTTTATACTGCCCAGTGCAGTAAAACTAGCATAGCATAATCTCAGAATACGAATAGTAGCAAAGCCTATTATAATCTGGCTGTATAAACTTATCTCGTAGATACTTTTTTATAGACAGTGACAATATAGAGGTACAGTTTCTCATAGAATTAAAAAAAAGACATTTCCATTATGCTTCATCTCGTAGTTTTTTGTTTTTGTTTTTTTTAAATTTCCAAAATATATGTGATCAGTGAAAGGAAATTTTAACGCTTTATTTAAAAACAACAAGTTTATTTTATCAAAATGTTCAGAAGTTCTTAGACCATAATAATATATTGTAATCTACATTACTCATAAAAATTAAAGGATAATAATGAAGTTTGTTTAAATTTGTATCATGAACCACGATAGTGGTTCATAATAGGGATCGCAAGGAATTTCACAAAACTCTAATAGAACATTCGGACAAAAAGTACCTTAAACAGTAAAGATTCAGTTCAAACAACACATTAAATTAACTGCTAAGGCTGTACACACATAAACATGCACAAAAAAAGCACGCATGTTAGACTTACAAGAAAAAGAAAATCCATTCAAAACGGCTCATTTGTAATTCTTTTTATTATTATTCTCTTGCACCCAAATTGCACCCAAACCTTTTATAGAAAGTACTGTGAAGGTCGTAGAGGTATTGAGAAGTCGGTTTATTTCGTATATATTTTACATAAGCTAAAAACAAAACATCATAATTATAGTATAAATAATGTTATCATCACTCCTTGAAATTAGTTTTAAAAAGCTTAAGTTTGTTTGTTTGTAATTATGCACAAAGCTACACAATGGACTATCTGTGCTCTGCCTACCACGGGTATCGAAACTCGGATTATAGCGTTGTAAGCCCGCAGACATACCGCTGTGCCACTAGGTGCAAAAGCTTAACTACAGGGTGAAACAGGAATTACCAGTCACTTATAGATAAACATTAGATGAATGTAACGTGTATATAGTCAATGTTTCGTATATTATACAATCGTTATTATTAGATAGCCAACCCCTCTATTATGTATGAAGTGAAGGAACAAAAAAAAGAAATAAATACACATGGTATTAAGTTTTGTAACGCACATTCGTAGAATAATTACTTTAAAAGACACGAAGATTTATTTGAAGCGATGTAGGCATATATATATACTATGCATTATACGTAGAAAGAGTGTAGTTGCACAGAAACTATAAATGATCACTATATTCTCAAACGAATCTCCATTTTACATCTCAAACTAATGCGATCAAATAGTTAATAGCTGCAATAAATCATCATGAACCGTATCAGCTAGCTACTAGCTATGTTTTTTATCATTACAATGTACAAAGTTAGCTTCCATATCAAATAATCATTTGCCCTTAGTTGAGCGTAAAAGAGCCAGCAAACAAAATAAAAACAAATTGGAATTTAAATACCTGAAAATAGGGATCTTAAAAAGTAAGGAAGCAAGGCTGGAGATACTGTAGACATTATTTACTCAAACTACAAATCTGTATTTTGACTCCACCAAATGTAATTCTTGGTAACAGCATGAATCCAAACTAGTGGGGTTTGTAGTTTGAGTAAATAATGTCTACAGTATATCCAGCCTTGTTTCCTTATATTTTTTACGATACCGATTTTCAGGTTTTTAAATTCCTAGTTTTTATTTATCTTGTATTTTTACATTATCAACTTTTCAACTTTAACATGGTTATTGTAGAGGATTACACTAATCCTATCTGAGACTTGCATGTTCATGCACCAATGATTCCTTATGAAATATGCTTATATAAGAAATAATTCTGCAAAGTAACATGCTAGTTTTGATTAATTACGAAAGATGTTTACTGTTGATATAATGTTAGGCTTATGAAGATTTTTGATAGTATAGTGTGTGCAAGTTGTTAGAAACCATTTAACTGAAACTGGACTTTGCAGTGCTGTCACACTGCTTCATGAGGGCTGCATTCAAACTGAGGTCATGGAGGTTTCACAATCTGTGATCAGTAGATTGTGGTGAAAATATGAGAACACATTAGAATACACTAGGAGGCCAGGCCAGGTTCGCAGGAAGGCTATAAATGCAGTGTATGACCGATATTTGTGACATTTAGCCCTTAGAAATCGCACCAGCAGTACTAGAGGTCTCAAGAACGAGCTTGAGCAAGCCACTACAGTGGGTATATCATATTCAACTGTCAGGAACAGGTTCCATAAAGCTGGGCTCTGATAAAGGATACCAGTTAGAGCCCCTGCACAAATCCAAGGCACAGAACAGTCCAGTTGGCGTTTGCCCAGGAACATGTCACCTGGACCCTTGTACTGTTCACAGATGAAAGCAGGTTCTGTGTATCTTCAACTGACCGATGTGTGAAGGTCTGTAGACGTGAAGAAGAGCGATATTTGGTCTGTAACTTTGTTCACCATGATGCCTTTGGAGGGTAGCTCAGACAGGGTCTGGGGTAGCATCTACATGCAGGGGCATAGAGCTCTATGTGGTGGAAGGAGTATCTCTGATAGCAAGACATTACATGGTTAAGATCCTGTTATAAATCGTTTGGTCTTTTGCTGGTGCTAGCGTAGGTGAGTTCGTGTATCAGCAGGATAATGTCCATCTTCACACCACCAGGATCACGCAGCAATTTGTTTCATAATGAAGGAATAAAGGAACTGGACTGGCCTGCCAAGTCACTGGACCTACGTTCAGTTAAGCATTTGTGGGACTTGCTAGGGAGAGAAGCTAGAGACAGACAACCTGCTCCTACGACTTGTCAAAACGCTCAGAGCTGCCGTCATCCAGGAATTGACTTTGCTGCCCCATCAAGTCATCCCAAATGTAATCAGCAGTATGAGAAACAGGTGTAGAGAAGTCATAAACAACAGAGGAGGACCTACCAGCTCTTTAAAACTCATTTGTTCATCTTAATGAGTTATTTTTCTTTGATATTTGTGTAGCAAAATATTAGCATTCTTCGTTAGTTTTGCTTTTTTGTTAATTAATTGTTAATGATTTTTTTACTTGTTTGATATTGTTTGCCTGTGATATTTGTAATAAACAAGTTTCGTCAATTTTGAATACTTCTGTATTTTATCTTAGAATTTTTAAAACAAAACAAAAAACAGATGGATTGTTTCATCACACAGTGAGACCTTGTCTGTTTGTTGAATGTCTTTACCTTGGACATTGTGTGGTACTTAAAGTCATTTCTATTACAGTGACGTTAAGCCACACAGTAGAATATCCTATTAGTAGCTGTCCACAGTGTTTAAGACTTAAGCAACTCCACGAAGAAAAATTGAAAGACCCAGATTTGCTGTGGCTGTTTCTTGTTGTGCAGCAGGGCCAGCAGATATTAAAGAACATAACCTGTGGTACTTTTACAAGCAACTAAAACTGTAGGAAAGTGTGCTTTACTATTGTTATCAGACACCAAGATATATTTCTAAATCTGTGTTCAACTAGTGATCGCCAGGGCCATAGGCGCAATTACAGCTAAAATGCTAGGAGGGGACATGCATTTTTATAAAGTCTTGTGTGTTGAAAATATGTGTGGCCTTTTTTCTTAGGACATTCTGTGAATTAATATCCTATTTTAAGTTATGATGTTGCTTTTTTAAAAAGATGAGCAGAAAAATTCTACAAAAATGAGAAGCGCACTGTTCGTAGGTAAGCCTTATTGGAGTCCTGCATAATGGAAAATTTGATTTTTAGTACACTAAATGAGTGTTACACAATAACAAAATATCGTTTATAGAATACTTTTGAGTAGCTGTTAAAATACAACTAGTATTGTTAATTTTATTTTATTTTTTTAAATTTGTTATGCAGATGTGCTCCCTACGCCTAAAAGGGGCTCACCAGCCCAGATTGGGTTAAGTGTCTCTAACTATTTTGTATTTACATAGTGATTACTTAGTAAATTTATGTGAATTCACAATGTTATCATGCATATCTTTAAAGTACTTAGTGTGTCTTTCATTTTTCATGATATAAACTTAACCCTAACATACTGAATTAACTACAAAAAAGACTCGCATTTTAAAAAAATTTTGTAGACACTATTTGTTTTTTTACACAATCCCTGCCATTAACGGGTCTTTGAAATAAACAATGTAACCATAGACACAATACTTTTTAGCTTCAAATGAAATAAATGTAGAAAAGGGGCCATTATACAACTGAAAACAATATTTATAATTAATTGGTATATTTCTTTTTTATTGCATTTCACATAATAAAATCCAGGATCACATTACAGCATGGAATAGAAATAAAATGTTAATCACTTAATAAAAAAAAACACTTAGAGCCTGAGACCTAATACTTATTTTGCCTCTTTTGAAAATCAGGTTGTTGACATAAAGAATTAACTTATACTAAAATAAATAGCAATGCACTAATACTGATGTTTTAAATCATCTTCAGAATGAAAATGCTCCGAATACAGTACACACGCCATTCAAAGATCATTAAGTGCCCTATTGGATAATGCTGTATCATGAAATACCATTGATACTTCATGGCTCTGCATTTTCCATGAGATCACTAAATCCCCAAATCAAAGAGAACCTTCCTGGAGCTAAAGTCCAGCCAAATTTCAATTGAGCACTGGGAGAATCCAACTCTGTTGGTATCAGCACCTGAAGTATTACTTAGTCAGCTACTAGATGCAAAAAATTCAAGTTCCAAGGT